TCATTTACTGCAAAGCACTCGCTGCGTACTGCTCCATATCATCCGAACTGCAGCATCTAAGCATTTTAACACAGCATCCATGAAATAACACTGGGCTGCCATAAATACCACCTTTTCGAAAGCGAGCATGTAAAGGCGTAGCGGAGTGGCTAAGTGTCTCAGTGTGTGCATTCATGTACTCCCACACACACTGGGCCGCTGCCTGTTTCTGCTCTCATAACACCTCTCGTCGGCACCGCTCAGTGCCCCCATAATGTACAACATGCTTCCTGCTGCTGCCAGATGGAGCCGTTTGGCATTTGAGGTCCCCTCTCCACTCCTCTCTCCATCTCTCTCTCTCCCTCCCTCTCTCTCGCTCTTCTTTCACTTCTTCTTACCCTATCTCTCACTCTTTTACTCTTACTCCCTGCTCTTTAAAACCTGTAAGCAACATCGACAAAGCTTGCTCCTTTCCAGGGATGCACTGATCTGATAAACTGGATCAGCACAGCTACAGATACGGACATTATGAAACAGATCAGGCATCGACTAAATACTACTGATCCACATTCAGTACTGCGCAGTTATCCAATACCCTTTCTTGTCGTACACCTCATTTCTTATCGTATGCATTTCTTTGTTAAAAGGCAATGTGCCTCATGTCACTTTCCACATGACCCCAAACAAATTACCCAAAGTTGTATTGGTGTATGTCTACTCCTTTCTTTGTATACTTTACACTCTTTCTTTCTCCCTACTCATTCCCACCCACCCCCCCACTTATCCCCAACTCTCCACCCCCTGTGCCCTACACCAGCAGTGTGGCAGGCCGAGGCAGCAGATGAGGAGCCCTCTGGCCTTCAGCTCCTGTCCGCCACCTGCCTCCTGGAGCTGTGCCATGCTGGAGCATGGCTCACTGATGCCACGCCAGCGCTGGCATTGTGCACCCATGGCTCATCCCCCCACCACATCCCTCCAGAACACTGCCTTTATGACCCGTGGGCCTTACTCAGTCAAACCACTATTAATCTGCAATGGCCCAACAGTGAATATCAAGCACAAGATCTGTCTGGGTGTGTTTACTTGATTATCAAAAATTAGCTGACCATGTAAAATAAGTAAAATATCTCACATTCAGCACTAGCGATGCAACATCATGATACAATACGTACTGTGGTTCATTCGTTTTGCTTTTACTTTTTGAAGTCCAGTTATTAAAACAAAATTGCAGTGACTAGTGAACATATAATTTACACAAGTCATTTTCTTAGAAAACAAAGTTAAATACACATTACAAGTATACATGGTTTTGGCTGCATGCAAGGTTTTTTTCCTTTACGTTTTTGGTTGCCTTTTTTAGGAATGAGGTTTTTAATAGAACAAGAGAAACTGTGCCAGCTAATGTCAGTTTCTGATTTCAACAGCTTCTAAATTGCATAAGATCTAACTGTATTCATTCATTCATTTTGTCTTGCAACTACCACATTAAAAAAGTGAATATTAATATCCCTATTAAGCACACTTCAGTTTAGAATAATGCTGCAACCTCAAAGACAAATCACAATCACCACATGAGTGTACACCTAAATTTCTCGGCAAACTTTTGCTGATTTATTATTTATTAAACATATGAAACACAGATAATAGGATCAGCACATCCAATGCTTCAGCAACATCTTTCTCAAGAGAATGCCAGTAGGCCACACAGGAAGTGTATATTATATTGGTACTGTAATTTCAGGAATAGTTTTGATGGACAAGCAGTGTCATGTCCAATTTGTGGCAAATAATGTCCTTTGACTACTTTCTGCAAAACTGGCCATAGGCTATCTCTGTGTCACTCTGTCACTCTCTCTCTCAGCTGTGGCAGAAGGCTACTGAGAAACCTCAAACATGGCAGCAAGGCTACTAAGAAACCTCAAACATGGCAGCAAATCAGGATAAAGGACCTTTATCTCAGACAAGAGGTGCAACAGGGGTGTGTGTGTGGTTTTAAAATTTAAAACCAGATGTGCTACCTAATTCTAAACTACTAAGAAAAGAACTGACTGCATGCAGCTCTCAGAATATAATAGTAACTAGTAATCTTGGCCAGCTATATTAACCCTGTCTTACAGTTTTCATGCAAAAAAAATAAAAAGACTCAGTTATCGCAACCAATGCAGAATTAGTTTTAAAAGATCTGGCAGTGTTACTGACTGTACGGCAACGGCCCGATGCTATCTTTCAGCACACGCTTTCTACTAACTGTATGAATGAACATGAAGTTTACATTTACAGAGGCATGCTTAGGATCTTCTAGCTGTATATGTTTAGAGCTTTTGGCAGGCAGTTTCATAACCCATACACTTACAGATTATCATTTGTAAAACAGTGTTTGGAATGCTTCAGTGCCTCAGAAAGGGTAACGCAGATTACGAAAGCCCCTTCTGCAACTTTTATCGGATGCAAACATCTGATTAGCAACACTCACTGAGTGCAAACATGTCATTGTAACCTCTAATTGAACCTGGACAGGCTGGGAAATAATAAGATGTGTGTAAAGTTTCTAAGTAGTGCTCAGAGTGGCAACAAACTTTCAATGAACTCAGAGGCTGAAAATGTAGGTTGATGTTTTCCGTAATATTGTTAAGTGATTTTTCAGATTTATTGGGGAGTTGTAATAGAAAAAGGTGAAGAGTTCACTCTTACTCATAAAGGAGGTGGCCAATTTATTTCTTCACTAAATCCTATAAACTCTGAGAGGAGTAAGCATTTATTCGACGGTTCTCTTTAATCAGTCTTATAGCCCTGGCCCTGAAGGTCATATAAAACTTCTCAGAGAAAAACAAAATCCTTGGATTCAAGGTGAAGTGTTTTGCTCTGGCTTGTAAGCACAGTAAGTGAAAATACAAAAAAAGACTGTACTGTAATTTCTGAATTCTTAAAATGTGGTATTATTTAAAACCACATGCCTCTTGGTGTGAGAACGGTATGACTCTCTCCTGGGAGTAGGAGTGAGTGAAGCATATTAGCCCACATGTAACACCTCCAGCAGATGGTAAAGCATTTGAAAAGTCTGTCCTCGGAGTGACCGACTCCAGTTCAGGGCTGCAGCATGCCTCTAAAGACAGTAAGTAAACAAAGACAGAGTTGTTCAAACATACCGGGCAGACGAACTAAGAAAAAATTAAGCCCAACACTGTTTTCTAAAAGCTCAAGTGACAGCAGAAAACCATTTCTAATCCCTTAAACCCAAAGGGTTCACACTTTAGCTCCTCACTTTCATTACTACCTCATTTACACATTTCATAGCACTCACTTCATTCATGTTAGTTCCTGGATAATGTTAAGCCCTAAGATTATGAACTGAATAAACAGTCTAGCATTTAAGTGGTTAAATCAGAAGAAAAGCCACAATGTTATGAATACATGATGGCACTGCCTGATAATCGAATGAGCATAATCAAATCGTGCTACCCGTATTTAATTACGGCATATTGGATATGGGAAGTCCTTCTGTTAGAGCCTGGAGCCAATCCACAAGATACTCTGCAACGTCGCTGGATTTTTGGGACAAACATCTGTTACCTACAAGCAGCCAGCATCTCATAACTCTCTTCCCTTGTCCTGTTCCTCACACACAACATGCCATCCATCCATATTAATGCTTCAAACTAAATTACATCCTTTAAAAACAACAATGACCTCACTGCTTCCCCTCACCCTGGCCTCCACAGGCAAACATTAAAAGAGAATTTACACAAGGTAACAGAAGAGAAAGAATACAAGAGGTGAAGAGAGGCCAAGACAAAGGCAAAAGAGAAGGTAAGGGTGGCTGCACAATATATAATTTGCTAATTTAGCCAGTAAGCAATTCTGATATCGCCAGGACTGTAACAATCGAATATTTTCACTTTTGAACATTCTATCGAATATAATCTTGAATATTTGAATGTTTTACAATAATGTATACTAGAATACTGAATAATAGAATAAGGAAAGCTCAAAATATGTGTTTCATTTTAATGATTAAACAGTTATTTGTTACTGTAAACACCACTGATAACCAAGAACTGTCATAGCAAGTGGCATGCTATTCTGAGGGACCCTGCATAATCTGGCAATCCTGGCCAGACTGCTGAAACTATTTGAATGTGTCAGTGAGGAGTGGTGGAGGACACTAGAGGAAACATCTTTTTAATCACGAAAACAGCTTTTTGGTCACCTCAGTGACTGCTCAAAATACACCTTCTAGCGTTCTGAGCATGAGCTAAACTCTGCTGTATTAATCTTAATGGTGCAGGTTGAATAAGTTTCTTTCTTCTCTGGATGGCCAGCTTGCTAGACATCTATTCATTTATTCTAGGAAACAAATACAAAGGAGACCATGCTAGCTAGTAATGCAGATCAGTAGTAAAAGCATTTGGACTGTACTGGAAGTTAAAGCCGACATTATCACCTCAAATTAGAGCTCTAATACTGGAAGGTGGGAACGGAGCCCTACTTCTGACCACTGCCGATGTATCACTGTGGTTTTGACCATTTTCACTGTTTTTACCTTTTTACCTGACATACAAGCAAACTATCAAATTAATTAGCTCTCTGTGGATGCACTGCTACTGCACACTTCTGGTGACTCGCTAGCTTTTAGCTTCATAAACAAATTTTTGTTTACCATCAGACTGATAAATACTAAAGCACAGAAGTGTGTGGTAGCAGTTTTTCAAACTGCTTTTCCTTTTTTTTCAAACATTTTAATTAGTTAATGTATTGAATGTCATCAAATGTGCACTAGTTTAATTAGAATTTTAAACGAAACTGGTCAAGCGATCCAACAAATGTGAATACTTTTTGATGACTGTTGATAGGGCAATCCAATTAAAAAATCTCTAACCATACCAAGTAAGACATATTCTAGTCACAATATGCAGCATTATAATATAAAGTGCTTCCACATCATTCAGCCCAACTAGCATAAGAGAAAAAAGAAAGGGAGAAGCTGAAAACCAAGAAAAAAAGAATTAAACAGTTTGGCTTACTTGCAACCTCCAAAGAAGCATTGCGACTGACAGCCTCTCCCAGGTAGTTCCTGGCCACGCACACATAGACACCTTCATCCGGTTTGCTGCGGCGTCCATGCACGATCCTGAGGAAGAAGAGGGAGCCTGTGGGCAACAGCATGCGGTGGGAGCGAGGGTCCTCCCTGTCTGTATCAACACGCTCGCCATCTTTGTACCACTCCACCATGGGGGTCGGCCGGCCCTCTGCTTTGCAGTTCAGTGTGGCCGGCTCCCCTTTTGAAACGATCAGGTCTGAGGGGTGCTCCACAATCCGTGGCGGGGCGTCCTCCAATCTGGGTCGAGATCCTGCAGGAGAAGGGGCACCAGAGATTCATGAGTAAGAGTGGATGCTTTAAAAAAGAGAAGTGCCGTAAGAAAAAGACACACAGGTAAAGCATTAGGTATTGTTCTGGTTTGAATTAAAGGAATACTCCAGCATTTTTTGACTTAATCTGTATCTGTTGCATCAGTAACACATGATGGAGGACCACCGAAAATACTTCTTGTGCATTTTCTTTATTTACTGCACTTAGAAACGAACAGAAAACTCACTGACTGAGAACATACTTACTATATAAGCCAAAGGGTCGTTGCTTCAGCACTTTCCCGCTGGCTTGAATTGTAAGCAGATAAAGGTTTGCTGTTCTTATTCTAAGTACAGACAGAAAATAGACTGAAGACCCTGAAGAGTTTAGTTTCAGCACAGCTGGCTCTAATATTCAAAAGCTCCCGAAGACCTTGATTAAACATTATGTGTTAGATAGTGGTGAACACAGTACATTAATCTTGTACTGAGCAGAAATACTCACAGAAAAATTGTTAAGTATTAAAAGTAGAAGTACTGTGAAGCATTGCCCTTATTATGTCAAGTTAATTAATGAACAGTTTCTATTTAGCACGACATTTGTGCATCTAACTCTTTATCATACTGATGTTTTATTGTATTAACTGTAATAACCCACTACTACTTTTGTACCTAAATTCAAGTGGAAATATTCAAGTAATATTTTACCAAGAGAATTTCTATTTTCACTCTACAGGATTTTTGTATTTTGTCTACCACTAACATGAAAAATGTAAGCTTTCTTGTGTAACGTTCCAGTCAGTGTTTAGCCTAACACTTCCTTCTTCCAAGTAGACACAAACATAACCAGATTATTATATCAAGAATTGTGATCTATCACAGTGTGAAAGAGAAACATCACATCACATAATTAGAAATATATGAAAAATGTCAGAGAAAAAAAATCACTAGTCAAACTGGTCAAACTTAGAACAGATCAAATACAGCCTGTAAGCCTACATTCAGCATGCCAGCTCTCTGCAGGTCATTTATGCAAGCTACAGTTGACAAGATAAAAAATACTATTTCAGGCAGTACTTGGCTGAGTAAAATGAAGACACATTATACATGCATGGCTCTCGCATACAGCATTTAAATTGGATGGTACAAAATGACATGCTCCACATTCAACAGTTACCAAAGAAAACACAGAAATACATTTTGCTCCTAGCTGTGGGCAGAAAGCAGAATAGAAATATATAAGTAATTCTGTTCTGTGTTTTAAGCCACATGTGAATTTATTTTCACTGCCAAGAAAGAAGAAGGGGGACTGGTGCTAAGATAATTCCTGCAGAAAGCTTTGAAATTGCTTTTCTCTCCTCCAATATGAATGACAGGGTGTTGGCGGGACAATTACGGATGAATAACAACAACACAAGCCGGGTTCTCAACAGGCCAGGAGAATTTTAACCATCAGGAGAGATTTTAGGATGAATCAGGAAGCCATAACACATGGTTTGTCAAAATAATTACTGGATTCTTCATGATGGCAATTATCCCAGGCTTTATAATTTGGTTTAGGCATGGCGGGGTGGCAGCTCAGATTTCTGACAGAAAGAGAAAAGAAGCAGCACGTTCCTGTCTGACTGTCTACTTACTTTGTGATTGACACAGGTGAGAGAAACAGCTCCTGATACTGCTGATAAGGGGGTTTCAGGTGCACCGGGCAAATACCTTTCCCTAGCACTAAATCCCCCAGGGTTATATAGGATTATGAACAAAGGGCAAATACGTTTTAACAGATAAAGAAGATACACCAAAGTTTGATGGTGTCCCACTCAAACCAATTACCTAGAGCTGGAAGAAAGCCTTTCTTGGATTCTAGCTTCACTTCAGGACAAATTCAAACCACTTTAACTTACTTCTAACTTTCACTTCAAGTCAGTTTTAAAGGAAAACATCCACTGAGTAATGCAATATAAGCTAAAACAAAACCATTCCCCAAGTGTGTTTTTTTTTTCTTCTAGCCTTTGCTAACTCGACACAGTGACCTTACAGCGCTAGTACATTAGGCCAGAAGCCCAACCACTGAGTTGTGTACAGGCCAGTTCACCTCTGAATCCCCGAGCCTGTTACCCTTTCTGCCTCTGAAAACAAAAAGCCTTCTGGCCCGCCGGGTGAAGGGAGAGGAGACCACCAGGGCTTGGCTAATAGCTTTTAGCAGACACATATAGAGCAACGAACAGACTGCGGTTGGCAGGGGGTGGAGGAGAGACTCAGCAGGCAAAGAATCGGAGAGCAGCTTTATAAATATTACAGGCCAAACACGTGGACTTACCACAGAGGAGATGTAACATAGTGGTCTTTAAAGGGAAAGTGCAAGCGAGTGTAGAATGAGCTAAACAGTGCCTTCCATAGTAGCTAATTGGTTTTGAGGAAAGTCATAAGGGAACTGGCCTCCTGACATCATGCAGACACAGTATACCACAAAATTGGGCTGCCTTTTTAATGCCTTTGTTTTTAAACCACTAACACATTGCTGGGCCATGCTCCACGATAAGCGCTCCACATATTATACAGAGATGCAGCTGTCTGCTTTGCCACCAAATTAAGTGAGTTAACATTTCAACGCATTAAAAATACTATGCACTGGAAGAAGAAAACAAGACCTGCAAATAGTGTTTTGAGGATCATGTGGACTTCTAGGACTAGATAAACTACTCTCTGTGGTTTAGCACCTTGTCAGAGTGATTCACCCTCAGGGAAACAAGGCTATGTGGAGACCTTTTCTGCTAGAGGGGACACCACTTAGAGAATCTCTGACCTAGCAGCACAGGAGAATGAACACATACCCTTCATTCATCCTGACAAGGCTTTAGAGTTGAGAAATAGGTGAGACAATTCAACAGCATCAGTGGTAAAACCTACTAGTGTAGCTGAGCAGCTCTGAGCAATGACCTCTGATCTGATTGGCACGGACCATTGCATTCAGATTTGTGTTAAATGAGTGGACTCGAACTGAAGGTGCGCGATATGGCAAACAATATAACGGCACAATACTAAAGATATTTTCATGATACACAAAATATATCATAATACTTTGTTTTTCTGAGGATTGCAAAGAAGTTAGAGAGGAAAAAAGCCCCAGCAAAACAGTAGTCCTACATTTAAAGGGGCTATTAATATTTTGAGTAATTTTTTTTTTATTTAGTTTTTGCAAAAAACATTTTAAGAACAAATACGAAGAATCAAATGTAAGAATCAAATTAATACAACTATATTCATATCAAAAGATAAAGGGGTAATAGGCTGACATCCGCTACTTGCTATTATGCAGAAACGCAAATACTATACATTGATTGTTGCTTACAAGCTCTCTATAATTGGTCTAAATCCATTTAATATTTTAGTAATACTGAGAATATTCATGAAATATTCTGAAAAGCACAGTGTGACATAATTTATCACAATAACAATAACATACTGTCATAGTGACCTTTTCCAACTTCAGTCTAAAATGAGAGAACAATGGTAAAACCACTCAGCCAAAACTTTGGTCAGGCGCTGAAGATTACAGCTTAGAATAAGCGCTGTTAAAATTAGAACATGTCCATATAACAACATTATGGTCTACAGAGAGCTCCCACTGTCTTTGATACCATATACAGCAAGAAGCAAATCTCAAGCTACTGTATAGCACATTAGCATGGCTCAGCCAACAAGAGTGATTGAGCATGCCGGGGAAATGCTGAGCTCCAAGAACGCTCTGCTCTTTAAGTTATGAAGTGCTTGTGGTGAAGTGAGCATTTGACCTTGTTGTCTTGTGCAGGGAGTGTAAATGCCAGCTTTGAGAGTGAAGCTATGGCCTTGCCAGCCCCTCTGATCTGTCCCGATGGGCTTTTAGCACTAAGCAGATTTATCTCCTCTACTGGGGGAGGTGGGCTCCATGGTGGAATAAGATCTCAACAGGACACACTTTGCACAAATCACCTCAGATCTACTTCAGCCAAGAAGTTCACCAACATAATAGACACAGGAAGATACTCCAAAAGCAAAGACTCACAGTATATGTTATACTAGCAGGACATATTAGCTGGTTAATTCTCTACACTGTGCTAATTCTGAAAACAATGTAAACGACTGAATTGATGACAATGAAAGGAGAATCCTAATGATATGCAAATATGTCAAATATTCTGTGTAGAGATGCCATCTCCATAACAACCATTCTTGAAGAGGTCAGAGGTCAATCCAATAATTGCCTTCTCTCTTGAAGTGTGTGTGAAGGTCTTGAGGTAAACACACAAACGTAAGAGACTTGAGATTGATAAAGCACCACTTTGAGACTAATTAAGATATAAGGTTTTAAAGGAAGAGGCTGATTTGGTGTATGAATGTTGTCACAAGATGAAATCTGCAACAAAGGAACTAATTGGCCAAACCTCACTTTAAAAGGTCATTTAAAAGCATAAGTCCATTATAAGCATAAAAGAGTTGATTCTTAGAGCTCTAGTGATGAAGAAACACACATATTCTACAAAGTTTGGAGCTGACAAGAAAACCATTTAACAGGACCCTAAAGGAACCTGGCTGAAGCACAAAACCAAGGCCATAGAAAAGAACAAGGAAGGGCTAACTTTCTCTGTTCAGCCTCATCTGCAATTCTTTTGAGAGGGCATTCATCCCCCTTAACCAGAGTTTGTTGTTTTACAGCCTCCCTCCTCCTGTTTTCCACTGGATTCTGGGAATTGATTTGCAAATGTGCATTCATTTCCCCAGTTCAATTAAAGAGGTGGGGGTGTCTCCCTGAACACCCTTTCTCCAACAACCTTTTCTTTGCACTTTGGCACAACAAAGGGACGCTTGCATGAGAATACAAACCTGAGGCCATAAAGCCATGCCCTTCACCACTGGGCCTCTGACAGTGAGAAGATGAAATGGGCCAGTTTTTGGCTCAAAGGAAATCACTCAGGAGAGTTTTTGCGTTCCTCAGGGACAAATAGCTCCTCTGCCGAGGCCTGGA